TTACGCTGTTTTACAAAACGGTGTTTTTCATAAAACGGTGTGAGCTTTATCAATTACACGGCGTAAAACTGTTAACACTGTAAAGCTGCTTACAAAACGTCACAAAACAGAGAAAAAGGCTTTTGCAAATCTTTTTTATTGAGCAGCTTTATATAAAAGTGTATCAATATTAGATGGTGTAGAGTTGTTTTTGGCCAACAATTTTACACCAAAAACATAAACTTATTAATAAACCTATATATATCATATAGTCTATATGGTGCACGTAGTTAACTAAGTGTTTATTAACATTTTACTATATTGCATGCAATATATATTGGGCGAATGTCTTATTAGTAATAAGACATTTGCCTAAAATATATATAGTAATATGCCACAATATATATTACTAATAAGATATTTATTACAAATAAGACGTGTGCCCAATATCTATATTATAGATATTGGGCACACGTCTTATTTGTAATAAATTTTACTTTTTTAACTACGTGCACGTGCAAATTGCGTTTTATAAGTAGTTAGCACGTAGCTGTGTTCGATTAGCTCAAATTGAATTTCTTATTTTATTCTTCTTATTTTTTCAAATTTAATAAATTATTTGATTTATATGACTAAAGTAAGTAAAAAATTAAATCAAAAATGACTGTTTTTTATATACACACTAAATAATGCGTATAAAAATTACTACCTACAATACGCAATTGCCCATAGTTAAAAAGTGTTTATAACATTGTACTATATTGTTGATTATTGTACTATATAGTTTATTAAAATTTTACTATATTGTATCAAGTTTAACAATTACACTTTTTAGAAAAATAGATGTTAATAATGATTATTTACATCTAATATTCCTAAAAGTATAATTGTTAAACCTGATACAACACTATCATAATATATACTTTGATGTCATACATTCTGTAGCTTACAGGGAATTATTCCCTATATATGTTTGGATATTATAATTTATAAATATTTTTTGTTATCTATTGCTAAGTTGAACACAAATGCAATAACTGTGTATACAAAAGAATGAATATAAATTGATGAAGATGAGATGCTGCATGAGCTGGATTCTAATACACAATGTTGATTAGATGGTTTATTTTTTTATCTGTATCAATGTTTAAAGAAAAAATTTTATATTTCATTATCTATATTTTTAATATCATAATTTTAAAATGATATTTCAAATAGTATACCAACTTTTACTTTTATATTAACACCAAAACGGTGTAATTTTACACCTTTTAATTAAGAGTGTGTGATGTTTTTTTCTTTTACACCTTTTAATGAAAACGTTGTAAAACGCTTAACACCGTTTTACACCGTTTTTGGTAAAAGGTGTAAAAGAAAAAAACATCACAACATTTGATTTTTACAACTTTTTAAATTGGTGCAGTGATTAAAAAGAGGTGTTATTTTACACCCTTTTATCAAAAATTAAACTCTAAGGTGTATAATTACATCAAAACGGTGTAAATTTACACTTTTTGTTAGAAAAAGTTTCAAAAAATACCGTTTGAGCTTATATTAACACCAAAACGGTGTAATTTTACACCTTTTAATTAAGAGTGTAACAATGTGCAACAAAATATTGTCGGAAAGCAGTTGAGTTAGATACACGGGCATTTTTTTTATTTTTGACTAAAAAGGTAAAAAAAAAAGTTTTGCTATTTTATGCTTATAAATTTTTTTATTTGGCATCACTTAAGTGTTAATATTTCAGCAATTTATTGGACTTTCGATTAACGCTACCCGTTTTTTTCATAAGTCTTACTGTTATCTTTAAAACCAAACTTCATGGCCTTCTATAATTACACATATATAACAAATAGATAACATATATAATATATATTGCCTGATTTGTTGCATTTTCCGTAAAAAATTAAGAGGCCTATTTTTTTATGGCATACGTTTGAAAGCTTGAGTTCTTATGTTTGCATTATGAATGTTTTATTTACGTTTTGTTAAAATTGGAGCAAATGACTTGGATTTTCTTAGTGTAGTTACATTATGTTATACTAAATTTTTCGCTAACTGACTGCCTGCTTCAGTTTATTCCAGTAACACAGAATATTGAAATAGGCTTTCAGATAGCAATATATTAACATGGTACTTAAAATAACATAACATGTTGCAAAGACTATCTACAACTCTTTAGTGGAAATAAAATCAAAGGTTTATTATTTTATATTTTTTTTACTTTTTATTAAGAATATTTATCGGTTCTCTGTCTTTTTTTAAATTGTTTCACCTGATCTTTTCTTACTGAACCAGTTGTTTCTTTTTGCAAATTATTATAAAATATATTTATAACGATACAAGATCGATATTTTCACAAGTAAAATCAATTCGGTTGTAATAAATTTTAAAAAGTTGTTCTACAAAAATTTTAACTGAAAAAGAACTAGAAATTAAAATTAAAATTTAAAAGGTACAACATCTTAAATAATAAAAAGAAAATCAGAAAAAAAATAAATAAAATCAAATAAAATCAGACAGAGGTTGACTTGGACATATAAGTCAACCTCTGGATAACATTTTCAGGTATTCATTATTAAGAATATCTTAGTCTGTAGAGACCATGTTTTAATTAAAAGTATGGTATTCATATCTTTTTTTAAACTTTTATGTGACATACCCGGCTATTGTAACAGAACCTTCAATGCTATCTTCAGATAGCTGACACTCTAAAATCTCTGTAGACAACAAAGTAATATTTATAAACTAGAATTATCTAATGTCTGATAAATGTTTTCTTCCCAGAAATTAATATCTTTCTTAAGAAGACTTCTGACAATCAAAATTTTTTCACTATTGCATTCTTCTAAAAGACTCACGAGAAATCTGCCACTATTCATTTGTCTATACTTACTAAAGCGTAGCTCCAAAGGAAGTAAGAACATATGTATAGACTTTTTCAATCGAATCATCAAAAAGAGATGCAGTTGCCCGTAGTGTTGCAATAAGAGCGAGAGAAATTTGTTTGGTAAATGTAAAATAATCAAATATTGATCAAATATCTATCCAATTTGCAATTTCTCTATAAAATGTGGGTTTGTTATCACCCTTCACAGCAGAATTGCCAAGTTGATTTGATGTATTAAATTTTTGATTTGAATTAAATGTGATGAATTGTTTATGAAACAAGGATAAAAATTGTGTTGCATCATTTCTTTCAGGAAGATAATTCAATATTGCAGCTGTAGTTGTTTCGTCAAATATTGCTAATGCAAGTTTGAGATCTTTCCCGGATAAGCAATCTGGTAATTAATTTTCCTTGCTTTTTTTAAGTTTCCGTTTAGTAACGTTTTAGTAACTTTTTCATAAATTTTATGAAATAAACTCCATGCTATGTAACCAGCAGGAACTTCAGCTTTGTCTTTAAACAAATCAAATGAAAAAGAAGGAAAAACATATTTTTTTGCATTCAACAGGTTATTTCTAACATTTTTTATCATTTATTAAATAATAAGTATGTTTTTAATACTCCATTATAAACTGGATGACAAATCAATAATTTTCCATCTCCAGTATATGCTTTATGAATCTCTGAAAACGCATTAACATTGGTAGAATGATTATCTGTAACAACAACTCTTACTTTAAATCCAGGATTGATGTAATTAGGTAATACACTCATCAATTTCTTTTTTTAACAATAAACCTGTTATATACACTTCAGGTGACGAACAACATAAGGAATAGATTTTTGAAGTCCAACAATCATAAAAACAACAATACCTTTATAAAAGTTACTTTCTGAATCTTCACTAACATATTTACCACTTTGATATTGGGCTGCTTTTTGCAAATACATCTCATCCAAAAGAAGTACACAGTCACTTGATACACAATTTTTTTTTGTAACAAAACTTTTATAGCCTTAAATGCTTTTAAATCGCCACTTTGAATTTTTCTTAATAAACTAAAAGATGGTTAAACAATGTCAAATGAGTTAAATAATTTCAGAAATATTATTACCAAAAAAAGACTCCTTTGATAGGCGTGAATTTATAATTTATTTTTTTTACAATTAGTTAGTAAGTATCTATATATGAAACAAAAGAAATTCAGACAAACAACCTGGCGGTCACAGTGTGCTTTGATAAAATCAGTCGAATTATGAAGTTTTGTATTGCTATGGCATAAGTTTTGTATTGCTATGGCATCTGTGTATCGTACATCGAAGTTTCAGTAATATTTATTCAGCAATAAGGTAAGTTTAGTGGAACCTGCACAATAAGAGAAAAGTCTGTCACTATTGTTAAATATGCACAATAATCTGTTATCACTACAAGACTAAAATTTTTATTTAATAAATTTTATGTTGTTAATTTTTTCTATATGTTTCTTTTTTCTGTGTTAGTTAACACAGATTAAAGGTTAATTAATCTGTGTTTTTTTAATCTGTGTTAGTTTTAATTTTTAATTAAAAAATTAGAGATTTAAAAGAATTGGAAGTTTCTTTTTTTAGTTTTTTTTTTAATTTAAAATTTTTATTTACATAATATAAAGTAATCTTTGAAGTATGCCTGTTTCAATAGTATGGTTGATCCATCAGTTTGACAAACCTCAAGTACTTTGTTTTACTTATATAAGGAAAACAGCCATGTTTTCCTTAAATAAGCTGAAACAACAACAAAAGGCAATATATTTACCAGCAGTATAGATATTTTACATAAGCATGTTATAAATTACAAAAAATATATTTGCAGTCTATATTCTGGATGGTTCACTCTTATATAACCTGTCTAAATTGAGGAGAGCAATCATAAACAAAACAAAACATAAATAAATCAAATAAAATAAATAATACACACACAGAAGGTTGCTATTAGTCAACATTCATTTTTATATCTTATATATCTTCTATGGTAATATATATTTTATAACCAGTGATACAATTGTTTTTTCTATTTATCTTGATGAAACAACTATTGATTTAATTTAGTTTTGAGGACATTTTTTTTAATGTTGTAAAAAGGGATTGTTTTTGATTTATTTTAAAGTTAATTTCAGTCCATTAATGCAAAATATTTAAAGGAATGTTTACCGTAGGATTTTGTATTATATGTTTACACACTCAGTCCACCTCTACAAGATTTACTTGTGAGTTGAAAGCTAATTGCACCGTAAAGAAAAACTATTTATTAAATATTGAGCTTTTTGTTTATGCAGCTGTGAATAAGTAAACAATTTTCAATTTTGATTATGCCATGTAATTTTAAAATTTGTTGTGTTTTAAAGATGTGAATATATGGGTACTTTTTGGTAGAAATTCAATAATCCTGACTGCTTTTTTCTGCATGATAAATAGGTGATTCGCTTATGTTTTGATTCCATTAATGAACACAATATGTGATGTGAAGGTGAAATAAAGTATAGTAAATAGATTTTAAAGTTTTTTGTTGTATAAAATATCTTAGCTTTGTTAAAATGGCAAGAGATCTAATCAACTTATTAGAAATATCATTATAAGTCCAGGCTAAGCTATTGCCTAGCTTTATACCCAAGTGGTTTACAAATTTTTGCACCAAAGTTTTTCCCATTTAACTTAATTTTGAGCTGCTGGTCTAATTTTTTGTGATGACTTTTAAATATTATTAAATCAGTTTTTATAGAGTTTTTTTTTTTTTTTTTTTTTTTTTTTTTTTTTTTTTTTTGTAATTCACTTCCCCAAGGCCAACAAAAATTTGCGTATAGTTTGGCATTAAAAGTTTTAAATCAGTTTTAAGAGTAGATATAACTTTGGTAGTTTTTGAGTTTTCTGGGAAAATACAACTTGACAAAAAGATATTTGAAATGTTAGAACAAATTCTTGAAAGTTTTTAATAGTTTTATAATTTTAAACGATTGCTAGACATATTTATTTTAATGACATTAAATTTAGAGTAGTTAGTTTAACAGCAAACTTAAATTTGTTTAAAAAAAGTTTGTTAAATAAATTTTATTGTTATTCTTTGATATCTTTATATGTATACTAATTTATTTATAAGTATACTAGTTTATTTATATTTAGAAAACTGACAGCAAATGCAAGCATTGGGAGAAACTTTTTTTGGAAAGTGCTGTTTATGAAAAAAGGTATGTCCTAATCAAATTATTATATTAAAACTGTCTAGTAAGAGGATAATTCGTTACTGTTTAGAAACAAAATGGACTTTGTATATGAAGATCAATATTTTGTTAAAACTAGAAAGAAAACTTTTATATACATCAGGAATTTTTTAGGAATCAGCACTCTTTGAGCATTAAAAGGAAGTATTTAATTCCCCATTATAAGACAAAAAATAATACATTACACACTAAAAACAAAGATTTTTAATTCGATTGAAAAATTAGAATTTTAAAAAAAGCCAATATTCTCAAATAATGCAGAGGTCCTGATAAGAAATACATTAAAGAATGAAGTAAGTTTATATTTAGATATGAATTCATTATAAACAGAGCAGCAAATTTATGGAACACATTGGGAACACAGCAAAATTATGGAGTGCATTGGAAGTTGTCAAGTCAACAAATGTAAACAGTTTTGAGAAAAAATTAGACAAATTTTTTTTTTTTTTTTTTTCAGCTTTTGCTGAAAATTGAAAAAATTTATCAAAAGTTATATTTGTTAAATTGAAGTTATATTGTAGTATATTATCAAAAGCTTTTGAAGTGAGTTTCTATGTATAGGTATATGTATATATATATATATATATATATATATATATATATATATATATATATATATATATATATATATATATATATATATATATATATATATATATATATATTCCTAAAGTTGGAGATTTTTTAAACCCATTTGTTTTTATATAGTGTTTAGTTTTGAATACTTTTAGTAATGGTAGAAAAAGAAACTGTTTTGAAAGTAGTTGTTTTTTTAATTAATGAATCTGCTGCATTACACATAAAACGCAGATATATATATATATATATATATATATATATATATATATATATATATATATTTATATATATATATATATATATTTTTTTTATTTGCATTCACTCCCAACAAGGTTGCAAGCAACCACTATTAAGTTGGGAGTTACTAGGAAAAAAAAGAACAGAGTTATAGAGCAAGGAAACGGTTGACAGAAGACTTGAAAAGTTGAAGGTTGTAGGAGTCAGGAAAACATGAAGATGGGAGAGAGTTCCAAAGGATTGAAGTGCGGGGAAAAAAACTAGATGAATAAAAGTTTTTAGAGCATGCTGGGACAGATACAGTAAATGAATGAGACTTAGCTGAATGACGAGTAATAAGGGGAATGAATTTTAGTTGATGGAACTAGAGACGATAACTCCTTTGAGCAGTGACCATGATAGTATCTGTAGAAAAGAGAAAGAGATGCAACTTTATGACGATGGGAAAGAGGTTCAAGCTTAGCAGATAGTCTAGGTCCAACAACATTTACAATGCGTTTTTGGACCTTGTCAAGAAGAGAAAGTGAATCGTTAGAAGAACCAGCCCAAATATGACAACAGTATTCCATACAGGGACGAATAAGAGATTTGTAGAGGTAGAGAATGGAATCAGAAGTAAGAAAATGGCAAGCACGATAAAGAGAAGCAACCTTAGCAGAAGCTATTTTAGCAATCGATTGTATATATGGTTTCCATGAAAGGTCAGTAGTAAGCGATAATCCAAGAAGACGTAAAGAGGAGGACTCAGTAAGAGGATTGCCATTCATTAATATAGGAATGTTGACCATATTACGATAGTTGTTTGCAGTAAGCAATTGGATTTTTTTAGAGTTGAAATTCACAAGCCACTGTGAACCCCAATCTATTACTGAAGTGAGATCAGATTCAAGATCAGCTGCTTGTTCTAGGCGATCGAAAAGAGAAGACTTTTTGTCAAGACAGGAGTATAAAGTTGAGTCATCAGCAAAAAGAGCTACTTTAGATGAAAGGTTGTCAGGAAGATCGTTTATGTAGATAAGAAACAAAACAGGGCCTAGGATGGAACCTTGGGGAACCCCAGAAGTTACTGGAAATAAAGAAGAGTGTTGGCCTTCAAGGATGACTTTAATAAACTGGTCAGAAAGAAATGATTTGATAATCTCAAAAACTTTCCCAGAAACACCATATGAAGCAAGCTTATGGAGAAGACCAGCATGCCAAACTTTGTCGAAAGCTTTAGATATGTCGAGAGCAATAGACCTAGCCTCACCGCCTCCATCTAATGCATGATAAAATCTTTCAGTTACAGCAGTTAGCAAGTCGGCCGTAGAGCGAGAGGATCTAAAACCGTATTGATTGTCTGACAGCAGTTTATTTGACTCAAGATGAGATGTGAGGAATTTGTTGATCAAAGACTCAAAGACCTTGCTAATAACAGAAAGAAGAATGATCGGACGATAATTGGAGGGGTCAGAATTTTCTCCAGAGTTTTTGAATATTGGAACCACAGATGCCATTTTCCAACAAGCAGGAAAACAAGACTCAGTCAAACACTTGTTAAATAGTTTAGAGAGAATTGAAGAAAGTTCTGGAGAACAATTCTGCAAGACTGTGACAGGAATGTTGTCTGGACCACAAGCTGTAGACGAGTTTAATTGAGATATGACTTTAGCAACAGAAGCCGGAGTGATTTGAATGTCTAACAATGGGTCAACCTGTTTGACTGGAATGGAAGAAAGTGAATTTCCATAAGATTCAAGAGTGGAATTAGAAGAAAAGTTCTTTGCAAACAGTTCTGCCTTATCCCTGGGAGAGGTAACAAGATCAGTCCCATGAATGAGAGATGGAATGTTAGATCTACCCTTGTTAACAATGTTGTTGAAGATTTTCCAAAAGTCTTTAGAGCCTAACTTCTGCGATAAGATGCGAGATTTAGTGAACTGAGAATAATGGAGTTTAGCATCAGAAAGCACCTTTTTACATCAATTTCTTGCAATAATAAATAGCCGTTTGTTCTCAAGAGAGTTGTTCTTTTGAAAAAGATGAAAAAAATGATTACGATTGGATATAGCAGCCGCACAAGAAGGAGAAAACCATGAAGTAGAATGAGGCTTGACTTGAAACCGACGAGAAGGAATAAAAGCTTCCATTCCAGCCTGAATCCAGGAGGTTACATAGGAGGCGCATTTGTCAGCTGAGAGAAAAAAAACATCAGCCCAAGGACCATCACGAAGAAAATCACGAAAGGAATCCCAGTCAGCTTTAGAGTAGTAGTAGGTGGTGCGATGATAAGGTGAGCCCAAAAAAGAAGTACGAGAAGAAAGATTTACAGAGATCATTGCGTGGTCAGAACCACCTAAGGGAGAAAAGGGAGAAACTGAACATAAGCTAGGGTCAGAGACAAGACATAAGTCAAGGAGTGAAGGTAAATGATTAGGGTTGTCAGGAAAACGAGTCACAAAGTTAACTATCTGAGTAAGAGATTGAGAAACGCAGAAGTTAAAGGCTTTAGTGCCAGCAGGATCAGTGGTGTTAGAGCCAAGCCATTCAGTGGGATGGGCATTAAAATCACTAACAACAACAATATTGGCAGAGGGGTAAAGAGAGAGGGCATGGTCAATTTGATCAGAGATAACATCTAAAAGAGTGCAATCATGGGAAGAAGGAGAACGATAAAGAACAATGAGAAAGGTGATAGAGTGAAGAGGTGCTAGGCTAAGTGCTAGAACTTGACTCATTCATAGATAGAGCACAGCCTCCTAATCAATGAGCTATGCAGTTGTCTCAGTCCTGTTAATTAACCCTAAGCCGTGACATAGGGCTCCTTATGTGGCCTTGACAATGCACACCAAAAGCATTAACAGGGACACCATCCATGCGCAACATGGCACTGTTAATACTCTGATATTTTGCAGCTGTTGATGGAATCAGCCTCTCTGAGAGCTACCACAGAGTTCGGGAAACCTTACTACCAGCCGGCCTCAGAACCATTAAACTGAGTTTTAGAGCTGTACCCTCATATGGAGATAACAGGAAGAGTTGCATAGCCATAATCAAGGAGGCATAAGCAAAATTCTATGAGTATTCAAGTAAAGTAATTCAAGTAAAGTAATTCAAGAAGATACAGCATTCATCATCCTAAGCAGGAAACAATGTAACACAGGTTACATCTACGCCAGCCTAATAGATGAAGAAGGGGTTCGAGGCTGGTTAGCAGAATTTTTCTGCTTACCCCTAAAGTCTTTGCCTAGGAGGCCTTTTACAAGACAGTAGCAGGATGCAGTTAACATCTGCCCAAGATGAGTATTTTTATCGAGACACCACCTCTAGCCTTTACTCAACCAAGAACCCCAAGGCAGGGGAGTTTTTAGTCGGAGTTTATTTCTCCTAGCCTTTGCATAAGAAGAGCACACTCTGCAAGGCAGCAGGGCTTGTGGCAGGTGGTACTGGGTTACGCGATACCAGTAGCAAGATTAATCTCGATTATCCTGACCTGACCTGGACTAGTTAAAAGGAGTTACTTCCTGCAACAGTACTTTGAGAAAACCAGTCATGACATTTTGGAAGTGCATTAGGAAAAACACTGCATCTAACAAAATACAGGAGTCTAAGGTGAGTGTACGTTTTGTAGTTGGAGTAAGTAGTTAGTTACTGAGCTCACGCTGCATTAGAGTATAAACAGAACACAAACAAACATAGACATAAATCAACTTATGGGTGAGTCAACACCGCGCCAGAAGTTCAGACAGAACACAAACATACATAAAAAACATTAAGTAACTTACGGGTGAGCAAACACCGCGCCAGAGGTTCAGACAGAACACAAACATACATAAAAAAACATAAAAAACATAAAAAACATAAACATAAACATAAAGTAACTTACGGGTGAGCGAACACCGCGCCAGAGGACCGCGCCAGAGGTTCAGACAGAACACAAACATACATATAACGTAGATTACAGGTGAGCTAATACAGTAACTAAGGCACCTCCAATTATATTTGGGAAAAAAAAAGAAAAAAAAAAAAAAAAATTACTATGGGCATGACTGATATAAAATAGTACTGATGACAGGAAGAACACTTCTTCCAGCCTTTGCTTAGATAGCAAATCCTGCAAGGCAGCAGAACATGGAACAGGTTGCACTGGGTTACATGTTACCAGTAGCAGGATGATCATGAAGACCATACTTCTGACCTGACAATATTTCCATTGCACAATAGACCCAAGCTGCATGAATTTCTTTCTTTCCATATATCTTTAAGCCACTAAGACGCAAATAAAACTTCCGTTTTTTCAAATTTCATACTACATACTATATTATAATCCATTTTCCATCCATATTATAATCCATAATCCATATATATATATATATATATATATATATATATATATATATATATATATATATATATATATATATATATATATATATATATATATATATATATATATATATATATATATATATATATAAACTCTGTTTTTTTCCAGTAACTCCCAACCTAATAGTTGTTGCTTGCCTTGTTGGGAGTGAATCAGAATTAAAAAAATTGGTGAAATACATTTAAAATTAATTTTATATATATATCAGGGTGGTCACAGCTTGTCTAAGATCCTTTAAAGTCCTCTTTTTTTAAAAATCTCCTCTAAAATCCCTTATTATCCTCTAAAAAATGGAATATTTGATTAAATCTTCTTTTTAACTTTTTTTTTTTTAATTTTTTATTTCTTGATGGAATGTTCTATGTTACAAATTCCTAATCTGCAAAACTGGTTAATGTCGTAAAGGGCATTGGGTTGTAAAAAATCAATTTTAGGAAATTGATGTCATCATTGTTGTAGATAGTTTTATATATTGTTATATATTTCATGTTATGTAAAACTTCTTTAATATAAATAGATTTATATAACATAGACACCCAAAAATTGTGACATATGTTGTCATCTATTCCAAATGTTTTAAAAAATTACCTTTAAGTATGAGTGTTTGTGAAACTACTGGCAACCTGCTTGTATGGAAAGATATAAAAGTATCATTAACCAAAGTTTCAGGTAAACATCCTATAAGGTTATTTTTTATTGATAGATTTAAAAAAATAGATTATTTTTGAATGTATTATAGCCTATGCCGATGTAATTTTGAAGTTGTGCAAGGGGGCAAGGAATTTAGACGTTAAAGTACTTACACACAAACTAATCTCAATATGCTTCAAGAATTAATAACAAAAATAACTTTTAGAAGATTACCAATACTTTCTTCCTGCCATCTTCAAAATGTTTGAAAAATTAATTTACTGTGGATGAGTGAAATAAAAACGTTGTTTAAGAAGAATTTTTACTACATTTATAAAGTGTTACTTTATAAGGCATAAAATTGACAGTAATTTTTGTTTGACAATTGCTGTTTTCACAATTTTTTTAGACTCAATCACTTTTGATTCAATTCAATTTATTAAAAAGTAAAAAACAGTTTTAGACTTCAACGGTTGAAATTATTTTTTAAACTTCGTTGAAGAAACTGACATTGCTCTAGCATAAATTGAGATCGACCTGATGAAAGATGGTATTATTTATATATGTGATAATTAATAAAAGACAATTAGTTTTTAATGATCAGATGAATGCTGGCCTTTATTATATGGCTGGTTGTGTATTTTATTTTGTGCATAGTTAATGTAACAATATCAGTCTTTTTGTTCCAAAATTAAAATTTATGTTTCGCATAGTAAATTGGCTTTTCTTACTCTTGCAATTCCTTCGTTTTTGTTAAATATTGTTTTGTAAAATTTATTGTCTCTCTAATATAATATGAATGTGCAGCCAATATTTTTTAATTCGCATTTTTTATTTTTTATAAATAATAGAGCTTAAATATATTTATGGATTATTATACTATTGTTTAATAGTTTAATTGTTTTACTTTTTTTTCCGTCGATCCTGTCCTCGCCACTACATTAAATAAGTGACTACATAAAAATAAATGTATGGTTTTAGTAATCCCTGATGTGGCAGTATAACACTTACTTGTTTTAGGTTAATTGAGCCAGGAATTTTCTCTAGAAAATCACCTAAACATGGGGAAATGCATGTTTTATAGATACAAAAAATCAAGAAACTGTCATCTAAATTCAGAAAAATGCTTGATATATTAGGAATCAAATATTTGTTAGTATATTATCTAAAAATGATAACATTTGTTATCGTTATTAGATAAAATGAAAATAAATTTTTATTTAACGTGTCTTTTTATAAACAGCAACCGTGGCGCAGTGATAATAATTATAACTCAGAACGAGGAGGTATAATGCCGGCTCTAACCCAATAACCTTCATTGGAAAGGAAGAAAACTTTCTGATAAATGCTCCTCCGCTGTGTTCTATGATGAGAACTTTACAGCTTTTTGGAGAAAATTAACTACTAAAAAAAACTTTTAAGTTACTGGCAACTTAGAAGGAAGGGTCACCCTGCTAAAAACTCCGTTTACTGTTTAGGTCTCTCTGTTGACTTTAACCGCCACTGCTCATATTAGAAAAAAAACAGCATTCCATACATTCTTTTTTACTGCACTCAAAATTTTTTCTTTGATGTCTTACCAATAGAAAAACATTTTTTTGATTAGATTCTAAGACATAAATGAATTCTAACAAAAAGCCAACTTAATTTTCTACAAATGTTTCCTGTCAAATTTACAGTTCTAAAGTCTTTGACCGTACTCAATCTTTTGATTAAATATTTTTGAGTAATTACTGCAGAGATGATTCATTAATTGATCCGCGCGTAATTTGAAACTTAAATGTTACTTTTTTCTGTTCAATTTGATTTGATTCAAAACAAGAATATATAAAAACTCTTTCAAAAGTCTTGAACTGAGACCAAAAAAGCTAAAAGTTACATTTTGTTCTGTCATTTACAATGTTTCAAAATGTTTTAGTCTGTTTAACATCGTCCACAATAGCTTTAAAAATATTTGTAAAAGATTCTAGTTATTGGTGAGGACCTTAAAAGATATCTAGCATTAATGTTGCTCAGTAGGGTGCAGTGATAACATTAAAAATTATTTTTTTTTGAAATACATTTTGCCTGGGTGTGCAAAAGTTGTTTATTCATATCAGAAATACTCTGTAAAAGTTGCAATGCTCAGGTAAATTATCTTGAGGTGCCATAAGGACTTTGAAATCCCCAAAAAGTTAGAAATTACAATTATTATTAAATTCATATTTTCACAAAAAAATCAATGGCTAAAAATAAACTAATCTTGTTTTTCGATTTCTTTTATAATAAACCTGTATGATGGTTTTAACATCATATCAGAACCTAATGAAAATATATTTATGTAAATTGTAGAACTTTGAGGTGCCACAAAAATTAAGAATAACAATTATTTCAAACAAAATTAAGTAAGTCTGGTTCAAGTTTATTTTCTGTCAGTTAATCATTTCAAGAACGTCATTTTGAAAGGCTAAAATCAGATTTTGTGTTAAAAACTTTCATAGCTGATCGCGACTCTATTCTTGCACGAATAAAACCATCACGCTGAGGTTCACAGACTACCATACTGGCTTCAGTGACTAGCTTCACGCCTCTTTCTACAGACTGAGTGTGGCATGGAAAGCTTTTAAATTGTAGCATTTCTGAGGTCAGAATGCTGTTTTTAAGCTGAGTCGATTAAATTGATCTGTTGATTGTGTCTGTATAATCTGTTGTTTCAAAGTTTAGAGGAGGTATCTTGAACAATCTAACTGTAGGTTTAGCATCGGTCTTATCGGATATCGATCTTGCAGCCAATACACGTCTTAGTGCTAATTGACGAATGTGGGGGCTTTCATCGGTTGCCATTGATATTAATAAGTTTTCTGGGTGAGCAAAGTATGCATTTCTTTGGATTACAGGATCAACAATTTTCTTAAGCTTGATAGGCAGGTATCTGGTATAATGCACCATTTGAAAAAGATAACGACTGCTATCCGTACAGAAATGCTTAGACTTCACTTCAAACCAAATAGGTGCATATACCTTTTGTATGTAAGTTACAAGAATGATCAAGTTTTTGTCTGGCTTTTCTGTAGATACATATAACCGGAGGATACGACTAGCAGTTGTTATCCATCGAGAATGACACATGAGTCCCGGTTTTCGATTACCCAATTCAAAACTACATTGGCCACTGGATATTGCTTGACACATTTCATGCAAGTACCTTTGATCTGTACTGAGATCATCTGCATCAATGCTGGACAACACATTTCCTTCGATTGATTGAAAACTGACAATTGGCAAGTCCATGTTCTTCAATAATTTTCCGATTGGACCACTGAATGAATTTAACCCATATGTAGATCCATCCAGGTTAATCAGGAGATGCCTCAATGGTAACTCATTCATATGTAATAAACATACAAACCAGTATAGAGATTTGTTGAAACGAAGCTCGAGAAGTCGAATAACACCACGAATATTACCTGAGTTGACATTCTTGCCATCACATCCGATTGCCACCAATGAACTGGTATCAATAGCATTTGCATTCAAAAATGGTATAATGCTAATCTTTATACTTTGAGAAGATCCCTGTGATGTTTTAACATGTTCCAGGTATTTAGAACCAGGGTCCTTTATTAACACAACGTGCTCCTCGGTCTCCAAAGCTGGATGATATCTGTTTCGTTTGATAATCTGGTTTTGAGTTTTGTCCTTTCGACCATCGAAATATAACCCTTCCAATGTTTTGGCAGCACCAGCTTGTAAAATTTTTCTCTTTTTCTGTCTTTCTCTACGATTTTTACTTGGGTCAATAACATCAGATGAGTCATGTGCATTAATAATGCCATAATCAACCAAAACAGCCAATGCTAATGCTGCAGCTGAGCGATCCGATACTCCCCGTCGATCACATTCACAAGCTAATGTTGGTAGTGAAGTTCGTACTTGAGAGTTCAAAATTTCTTGTGAGGTTGTATTATTAGTTGGTGATGGTGACTTAGGCGAGTCGTTATGAAGTCAACATCTTCATTACTATCTCTTTCGGTGATAGCTTCATCTAAATTACCCAACGTGACATCATTACAATCATCCTCCTAGCTACACTCTGGATGCGGTTTCAAAATTTCAGCATTTGTTACTGATTTACATTTATAAAATCTCAATTCATCTGCAAGTTTTTTTTTCAGTATCTTTTCCTGCAGCTTTGTTGTTTTAATATCAACGTTGCCAATAGCCATTTTCCTTTCTGTTCATTGATCTGCAAGAAATATTATTTCATTTGGTGGAACTTTACGATTCTTTTCACAAGCACATGTCGAAAAGTCTTTACATTTACATGAAGCAATATCAAAAATTCGATTTGAGTCAATTTTGAAGTTTTCAACTTTGTTCAGATACTGTGACTCCTTGTCCTTGGACCTCTGTTTAAACGGTTTCATAAGTGAGCGATATTTGTCATGGTAATCTCTTATTTTAGCTATTATTTGCCGACGGGATATTACTGGAATTGATGCTCTGTGTCATATTGTCTCAAGATCAACAGATATCTTCCTGGTTGTTTCATTAATTGTAGCTTCTTTGGCATGGCCATCAGACAATTCTTTTCTTACTGATATAAAATGTTTCATGATGTCTGCATACGTTGGCAAAAAATTTATGCTCATTCGTGAAATGATGCCAAATACTGGGCATATGTTATCATTGCGAGTGAGTGGTTTCTTCATTCGAACAGTTTCAATCTTTTGTTCCATGATCTAACCATACAAAAATAAATGATAATTTTAATAATTATCTGCTAGATTCTGTGTTTTTTGTTTGACGCCGTTTGTATTTTACATAATAATACATGCACATTCACTCGCCAAATGGCAGCATTATAGCAGCTAACTATATAGCACTAAATAATAATATTATTATATCACCCAGTCACACACAAATTTAAAAAAAAGTCTTAGTCTGTCTCGGTAGTCCGAGCTCCGTACTCCTTAGTCGGTAGGTCACATTTTCGGGATTTTGGGGAATTTCAATTACCTTGGGGCAACTCAAGATAGTTTCATAGAGCATTGAAATTTTTACAGAGTATTTCTGATATAAATAGACAACTTTTGCACACCCAGGCAAAATAAATATCAAAAAAAAAAAAAAAATCTAAACTTTTTTCCGTAAGTCACTTTTTGATGATTTTGGTGAATTTCAAAGTCTTTGGGGCACCTCAAGAAAATTTCTTAGAGGATCGCAATTTTTACAGAGTATTTCTGACATAAATAGAAAACTTTTGCACACCCAGGCAAAATGAACTTAAAAAAAAAAAAAATTCACTGCACCCTATTACTCAGTGTGCAAGGATTCATTTTCACATGAGTTTGAGGCCCACATAAAATATTATCGTGTAACGATAATATTCTATGTGAGCCTCAAACTCATAAGGTTTTTTT